GGGACAAAACTTTCAAAATGAAGCTAAATATTTCAAAGGTATAAGGTTTAAAAAAATCCTGAAGAGAAGCATGAATGTACTTGGAGAGCTGAATATTTTGATAGCTGAAAATATGCTGATGTAGAATTTCCCCATTAATTTGAATGGGACAAAACTTTCAAAATAAAGCTAAATGTTTCAAAGGTATAAGGTTTAGAAAAACCCTGAAGAGAAGCATGAATGTCCTTGAGGAGCTGAACATTTTGACAGCTGAAAGTATGCTGAAGTAGAATTTTCCCATTCAATTGAATGAGGCAAGTTTTTCAGAATAAAGCTAAATATTTCAAAAGTATGAAGTTTAGAAAACTCCTGAAGAGAAGCACGAATCTGCTTTAAGAGCTGAACATTTTGATACCTGAAATAGCTGAAAGTATGCTGAAGTACAATTTTCCCATTCATTTGAATGGGGCAAGATTTTCGGAATAGAGCTAAATATTTCAGAAGTATGAAGTTTAGAAAACTCCTGAAGAGAAGCACGAATCTGCTTTAAGAGCTGAACATTTTGATAGCTGAAAGTATGCTGAAGTACAATTTTCCCATTCATTTGAATGGGGCAAGATTTTCGGAATAGAGCTAAATATTTCAGAAGTATGAAGTTTAGAAAACTCCTGAAGAGAAGCACGAATCTGCTTTAAGAGCTGAACATTTTGATAGCTGAAAGTATGCTGAAGTACAATTTTCCCATTCATTTGAATGGGGCAAGATTTTCGGAATAGAGCTAAATATTTCAGAAGTATGAAGTTTAGAAAAATTCTGAATAGTAGCGTGAATGTCCTTGAGGAGATGAAGATTTTGATACCTGACATAGTGTTAGGTTTGATCCCCTCGATACCGTGGGAGAGAGAGAGAGAATCGAGTGAGGAGTAAGTGGACTGAGGTTGGCAGGGTGCGATTCAGAACCAATATTTATTTTCCCTGGAAGGGCACAGAAACTAAAATAGAAAAGAAAGCTGAGAGGGCGATGCGGATCAGCGGGGAATCAGATCTGGCCCTGATGTAGAATTAGGGGAGCTGTTTGTCACCAGGCTTGGAGGGCTGACTGGCAGTGAAGGCAGGAGGAAGAGCACAGGACCTGGGAGGAAGAGAAAAGAGAGCAGAGTCAGTAGCAGACTGGACGACGTGGTTCACGATCTCCAGTGCTGGAGAGTAGGGTGCAGGAGGATGGTGGTTTCTGCCGACAATCGGGGGCTCCGGTGTTTTGCTGGGGGTTCCGCCTCGGCAAAGTGGCCTCCTGCCGGTGTGTTATGGCGATGGAGCAGTGGCGTGGGTGCCTCGTTGGTCTCTGGTGCTGGGATTCCACACCGCATGATCCCCAGAGTAGAATGCGAGGAGTTGAGCATGAAACAGGTAAAAGAACAGTCTTACTAGTCCCAGACGTACGCAGCGTATGATGATGCCACTGAAGGATCTCCTCCAAACTGCAGTATTGGCTACACAGAACGAACCAGCACTGGGGTGGCGTTAGTCTGACCGTTTTATGGCGTCAGAGATAATCAGCTGGGGTTGGGAACAGCTGCGTCCTCCACCTGGGATGCCTCAGTCTGTAACAAAAACAGTGGGTAGAGAGGGAGCAGAGAGAGAGAGATGGCACGGAGCACACCTGACACATAGCTGAAAGTATGCTGAAGTAGAATTTCCTCCATTCATTTGAATGGGGCAAAATTTTCAAAATAAAGCTAAATATTCTTCTTCCTGCTGTAACCAGGTTTCATTAAGACACAATAAATCAATGTGATGTTCACTTATCAAATCATTCACTAACAGAGATTTGGACAAGAGAAAGCTGATATTTAATAGTCCACATTTGATTATCCTGTTATTTTCTACTATAAGAAGAGTAGTCTTCATTTTAATTAGGTTCTTATGAATAACTACTCTTGAGTTGATTTTTGATTTATATAATTTAGGTGGTCGGGGGCAGACATAGTCTCTCAGGAGTACTGGAAGTTTTGGGTGGGTAGCAGCTGCAAAGAGACAGCAGAGAGGCCTGTAAGACTGTCACCTTGTGTCCTGGATTTGACTCTGGGTTGTCATAATTCAGGTTGTAAAATAAACTCGTCCAGATTTCTAGATATGAGAGCTGCACCATCCAAAGTGGGATGGATGCTGTCTCTTCTAATCAGACCAGGTTGTCCCCAAAATGTTTTCCAATTGTCTCTGAAGCCCACGTTATTTTCGGGCACCACCTAGACAACCAGCAGTTGAATGACGACATTGGTCAGATTGGGCAAGCGTCCAGAGAAATTGGCTTCAGCTGTGCCACTCCCCGCCAGCCATGCCTGGTATCTCAACCAGGACCCCCAGGAGAGAAGCGGAGGCTAGTATGAGACCTCACAGATGAAACAGTTTAGTTGTGGGTTTTGTCAATATCTCTGTTATGCCTTGTCAAATTGAGCTTCTCGAGTTATACTCTTTGACTTTTTGTCCAGTATTCATTATATTAAAAATCTACCTAGAAATATTCTTCAGTCCATGTCTGCATTTTGGGTCCTCCCCTTGCCTGAGGCTTGACAGAATGAACCAGCTAACAAAGGTCCCAGCAGACATGAACAGAGAAATGTGAATTATTGACAAGGTGGCTCGAGCCCTGGGTGTACAGATGGTCGCTGCTTGTGATCTTCATATTGTGATTTACTCCAAGATTGAGGGGCTTTTTCGGACTCACCCCTGGCTGATGTCTAGACCTGAAATATCACAGGTGATGGCCCAGTTGGCCATTATAAAGTCCACAGTCGAAGACTACCGGAACATGGTAATAGAGCATGGCATAAACTGGCTTGCCATCCATCCAAAGCTGGTGTCCATTGTGAGCAGCACCCTCACCCAGTCTATTCTGACACCCAGCTCTGAGGTCTGGATACCAGACCGTGAGTCGCAGCCAGTCCGTAACCCCAGTCAGTCATTGGTGGAGATTGACCTGAGCCCAGCTGAGGCCAGAAACATCCAGACATGGCTAAAGGCTCAGATGGAGCATCCTCTTTCCCCTTATGTTTCCAAGGACTGTGTCACATCAGGTTTTCCTGCTTGCAGCCCCTCAGTCCTCTAGCATAATAGAACTACAGTCTGTGACCTCCTCTCTTAACCTTGGTGTAGTGACTGTAACTCCTGTTCCTGAGTCTGTCCCTGTATAGTTAGACTGTTAAATGCTTAGGCATGCTTATGAGTTTCTACAGGGTACATCTGGTCAAGGATATTAGGGAGAAGAGTTGATGACTGTCAGCAGACAGGGTGTTTAATATTATTATTACGACGTGTATAATTGTAGCTTTAGCCATAATATGTTCTTACATTTAAGTCACGACATGTACTAGAGGTTGTGAGAATGTTTTTAGCTACACACCACTTAACCAACAGACACACACATTCACACTCATGTTTTGACGACTGCTAGGGCCAGCTACAAAGCTGGCAACAGAGACGTCCCGGTTGACGTTTCTGTGTAGTAGGGGGCTAGCCCAACCAAGGTGATATAATGTATAGGCCTGGTGGGCTCAGGGTCTTCCATCTTACATCTGCCTACGTGCAGTATGGAGGTGCAAGATACTTGAGCGTGTAATGTTAATTTTACCTGTGATCCTTTGAATAAAATCCTTTGTTTTGTAGTTACTTGGACTGCCTCGTCTCTCAGAGTCAGCATGGTAAAAAGTACGGGGTACAACAGTACGCATTGCACACCTCTTGAATACAAAAACAAAGACAATACAAAAACAAGACAATGGGTGCAAGGCTAATCTAGAGCTACCAATATTAAACATTAAACGGCTGGAAATGAGCATGCCATGGGCATTTTAAAGTGTATTGCATTATTAACACTCTTTAAAATATAACCCACAAGAGTGAAATGCAGGTATTTCGAGGCAGAATATCCTTTTTAGTATCACAATATTAGCTGTAATCACTTTTTGGCAGAGAAAATATTGAATTTTACTGACTGCACTAGCCCTTTTATGGGCACTTAAAGCAGTGCAAATATACTGTGTGGTTTATCATCTTTAAAATATAACGAGTGAAATGAAGGTATTGAGAAAGAATACCCTTTCACAATATTAGATGTAATCACTTGTTGGCAAGGGGGGTACTTCATTTTTCTGGTTGTACTGGATCCTTAGAGCTTTACAATGGATGAAAAGCCTACATGGTTTATAGTCAACAACACAAGATACACAGAATCAGTAGAATAATTGCAAAGTGGATCATTTTCTTTATTTTATTTTGCATAGCCCGCATTACTAGATTATATGGAGAATGTATTATGATACACAGACATAACCTACACATGTACATATGTACTTTTAAATATCTTGTTTCTGGCTGGTAATGACATATACTTAAACCTATGGTGTTCAGAACTGAATAAAACCCTGCAGCAGAAGCAAATCGACCTCTGTCACAGACATGTTACATACTGTATAACCACATCCAATAGTTATGACTCAAGAATGCCTGATTGCACTCCAAAGTACTTTTGGCTATAATTACAATTATTCCGGAACAATTTCCTCAAAGGTTCAAGATTTAGAAAGACATACCTTCGTACCACCAGTCATTGGATGTATTTTTGGCATTTTATTATGGTTTGATTACGACAAAAGCAGCTGTATGTGGATGTAAACCGGTCGATGCATTTTAACAGACTCCGCGCGCTCCCGCGGACCGTAATCGCTTTCTGGCAGGCAGTCACTTTTTTCTGTCCTGCTCATAGAGACGACTCGTTCGCGATCGACACATCACGGCAACATAGCAGGTTGAATGAGAGGATCTATGAACCAGTGTGTGGGAGTGAAAACAGAACATCAGCAGCGGAAAGTTTATTGTGGCTCAGTTCAGCGGAAGTGGTGCTCGCGCGAAGTCAGTGTGCAGCAGCTGTCAGGTTTTTGTATATTTATTGTGTGACTCAGTTAAAGGCTTTTAAGTGGTTTGAATAGAGCGGGATACAATATTTCGTTGGTTAAAAGTATAACATGTCAAACCTCCGACCCAGATTAGGCCAGTTTATCAGGCTCGTGGAGCCCGACACTCCCGCCTCCGCAGCAGGGCTTCTCACCGGTGATCAACTCGCGTTCGTCAATGGGGAGAGCGTGGAGGGCGAGAGCCATCAGCAAGTGGTCGCCAGGATACGGGCCGCCAAGGAGGTTTTAGAACTCATCGTGGTGGACGCCGAAACGGCTGAGCTGCTGAAGAAACACAACCTGGAGTGCCTAAAAGAGTATGTCACGGAGGGGATTCCCCTGCCCAACGGGAGTAGCGACTCAGACACACAGAGCTACGGCACCCCGAGGGAGTCAACCCCTGTCTCTGCTGAGAACGGTGCTGCATCTCCGGAGAGGTCTGACAGGCTGAGTGTTAGCTCCAGCACCAAGGTACGGCAAAGCACCGAAACCAACTCTATTGAGTTAGCCTGTGAATAATGTTTAATTCTGTTTTGTGCCTCCAGCTTATTACTAATGGGTATCAAATCAATTTTTCCCAGTGCTTTTAGGTTTTGATAAACTATTTCCGAGCTGGACCTTGAGAACTGTCAGGTCAAAGAGTCAGTTGTTTATCTCTTGTCTGGTGAATAAGAGTTGACTATAATAATAAAGTGCTCTGTAATGTAATTTTGTATTAGGATAGGATCAACGCCTAGTTGGTAAAAAGTTTGGAAAATCTGTTGAGGAACCTGACCCTGAACCATTTTGATCAGTGTCACAAAATGCTCTCAAGGACCCCTTTTATGTTACATCATTTAATTTTCTTAATTGTGAAACAATTTGTTGACAAAATATCAGGACCGAAATACCTATTTTTGGTTAATCCAGCACATTAAATATCCGATAAATAATGGTTATTTCTGACATTAACGCAAAAATCATATAAAACCAATATTGCATAAAGCATCCTTAGTTATTGATTTGCAGAATCATTTACAGTGCTCATACATTTTATTAACACCATAGCAAAATCTCTCATGGTTTACTGTATATGACATCAAATTGCCCAACTCCGCCTGTAATAATAAACTGCAGTGTAAAGTTTACCAGCTCATTAAAAACACAGGTTACTCCATATTGCTGTAATGATGAGTCAGACCAAACTAGTGGGAGTTATCAGCCAAAAAAGCAGTGTCTGTTGTTTGCATCATCCTATCTGCTCTGAAGCCTGCCCTGTCTAAGAGCTGCAAAGGTGATGAGGAAGTAAATCCCCTGTTAAGTAGCCTCTTCAACTGCCAGTAAAATGCTGTAAGCTAAGACAGTGAAATGTTCCAAGCCTCTACTCATTCCTGTTGAACAGTCTTTGTCTTATACAGTAAAAGTCTGAAAGTATGCCTACTTCCTGTCTTGAATTCCCCGTCAGGTTTGGCTTGTTGGGCCAGAAGTGTTGATACACTGATGTATTGTATTGTATGTGAGCAAGACATTTTTTTAAAAATGCTATTACATTATCTGATGGGACCTTGAGAGGCAGGAATGAACATGCAGGATAGTATTTTTATTGCACAAGCTCAGAGTATCTACACTTTAGGGTAGGATGAAGGTGCATCTTGATCAGTAACAGTACTAGGCTAATGGTCTGAGCTGTCAGACTGGGACCTTCCACCACATTAAAATGTGAAACATTCTGACAGAGCTGTCTTTCTTTGGCTCACCATAATCTTGCCTCTTTGAAAGACCGGGGTTTTATTGTTGATTGTGAAACAATTGTATAATATCATTCTTTAAAAGGGTCCTAAACTTGGAAAGATCTTGCAGATTGTGTAACTGGTGTAAAATCTGGTGCCTTATTTAAATGTTGCATAATGCAAAGTAGTCTCATTGTTGAGGTGTTTAGCTATGTGGAGAATGGGAAGTGGTATTTATTTAGTACTTACAAAAATAATGGGATACTTGGTTATTTTAAGACTTTGCAAGAATGCAAAAAGGTGGTATAATAGAGCCTTTTCACATGATGTCATTCAACATCCCATGCCCCTCCCAGTGGGGGTGGCCTCACTTCCACTGGTCAGTAGAAACATGGGGTGCACAAGGGTCTAAAGCAGCTGTCAGATAGAAATGGATGATGTTAAACAGATTGTGGATGTTTTCACTGACATCTTGGTCCAAACATGAGAAAGAGTAAACTTTATTTTTTTATTAATGTATGAAAAACATGTAGAAATCTATTTTCCAAATTACAATAACAAATGCATTTGTTTAAACAATGCTTATGCAATGTTTCCATGTAGTGCATTATTCAAAAATATTTGTTCAAGAATAGAGCATTTATAAAGCGCACATCAGGTCCTTACAGTGTTAACAAAAAAACAATGTAAAATAACGATATACAATGAGGAACAGAAGTATTTGAACACCCTGTGATTTTGCAAGTTCTCCCACTTAGAAATCATGGAGGGGTCTGAAATTCACATTGTAGGTGCATTCCCACTCTGAGAGACAGAATTAAAAAAAAA